AAAAAATTTATATAGATGCATGAGCCTAGATTTCAAATCATAAAATGGACAATCAACTGACAAGGAGCATGCTAGAGTATAGAACTACAACCCTTACACTTATCGCAACCACAATATTAGAATTTTGGTGTAACGGCAAGATCCTTTAAGTATCACTCATTGTCTCTCTACTTTTTTTGCCATTTAAAACTTGTGATGTACAAATGCAGTTGCCGAGGCAGATGCCCCGACCCCCCCCCCCAAGGTGGCGCTAGGTAGAAGAGTTGCCGAGCTTGGGGGTGGAGTGGCGTAGGTAGGAGTGGAGCTTGGGTGTGGAGGGTCCCTTAATCTTCTTTTAAAAAAATACTAAATCAATTATATTAGTCAAATATTAATGTTTTTACACAAAAACTTCGAAGTTATGGCCTGGGTTGAGAGTTATAGTTTAGGGTTTTCTTAGAAACCACCTTAAAAATGGAGTAATCGTACGGAAACCATTTTTTATTTTTATTTTATATATAAATCATCTTTAAAGTTGGCTTTTATTGCAATTAATCACATGCCAGTGAAATTCTTCACTTAAAACCCAAAGTTACCCTTAAAAAACTCTCATTCAATATACATGACTCACCTTTTTAATGTTTAGGTTTTGTTAGGACACAACTCACATACATTGAACTTGAATGTTTTAAGCTTATTTTTGGTTGTTTAGTGAAAATTTGACAAGGAGATTGTTGATTGCAACAGAAACCAACTTTAAAGGTAAGTTATGTATAAATTAAAAATGAAAGGTGGTTTTCATATAATTATCCTGTGGTTAAGGTGGTTCTAGAAAAACCCTTATAATTTTATATTCTAACATACCCGCACTTTCTGCAGATTAAGCACCTTTTTATGGTCAAAACTTGTACTCACACTGCAGTATCAACTGTATAAATCCGCTTTAAATTCATGGCCTCTCATGTTTGAATCTTGGCATCAAAGCTCTGAAATTGTGGTGAAGATTGAAGGTTATAAACTTATAATTTTATACTCTTATAACAATATTAATAATCACATTTGATAATATCATGATTCTAAAGAGAGAAGATAGGCCTCAAACTTGCAAACCCCAACCAAATACCATATACGAAATCATTATTTACAAAAAGAAAAAAGTACTCTCAACTTTAAAAGTATAATATGAATTAATACAGACTTGGGTGTTTAATATCAAAATATGAAGACTTGGGGACTAATATTGAAATATGAAGATTTAAAGGGCTAATTTCAAAATACTTAAAAATTTTGGAGAACTAATTAAAAAATATGATGAGATGGGAGACTATCAAAGTATGAAAATATTAAAGTATAAAAAATTTTGTGGACTAAAATAAAAAACTCATCTAAATGGGCCATTGGGTATGGGCTGAGCACGGTTTGGTTCGGATCGGTTTTTACCAAAATTTGAACAACCGAACCGAACCACATATAATTCAAAACCGAACCAAACCATTGCAAGTCGGTTCGGTGCGGTTCGGTTCGGTTTGTTCGGTTCTAACTTTATTTTCAGAATGACTTAAACACTAGACTTGTCAAATGCTAAATCAAATAAAATATATCGTGACGGGTAAGTGATCCCATGAATATTAAATTGTAGTATTTCAGGGGTTGCCGACTTAATTTGGAAAAACAAGAGGGGGAAAAAGGAACAAAATCATCATCCATGAAAACATATATACCAGAAAACAAATTAAGGATCGTTAATCATCATCCATGAAAACATATATACCAGAAAACAAATTAAGGATCGTTATCAAAGCACAAACTCAGAAATCATAAGTAAGGATCGTTATCAAAGCACAAACTCAGAAATCATAAGAGAATAGGAGTGCATAAATGAACATGAAACTAAGAGGTTGATATCTCAACTTACTAGCTACTGTATCCAAGGAAATAAATCAAAATTAAAGAATAATCACAGTCAGAAGCTTGAAGAAGAGCAAAAGATAAAGTTTATACCTCGACCTCGGCGACGGGATGGGTGTGAGTGTCCCCCTCAAAGCCGGAGACAGATGCTGAGCCTGAGGAGATGTTTCGACCTTGGTCATGAAGACCGCGGAAGTGAGAAAGAGGAAGAGGAAGTGAGAGAGGTAGACCGTGGAACTGAGGACTGAGGAGTGAGAGAGAGAGAGAGAAGAACAAAGGAGGCGGCTAGCAAAGGGGGAAGGGAAGTTTATGTGTTTAGGGTTTGAGAGTTGAGACTTTGTCTTTGGGAACGGGTCGGGTTTGAGCAGAATGAGTATTTTTAGACCATGGGGTATTCGGTCGGTTCGGGTTGAAAAGTTTTCAACCCGACCCGAACCGTCCTACTCCTAAAACTGATTTTTTGGGGTCGGGTCGGGTTTTGCTTCGGTCGGTTTTTTCGGTTTGGACTGAACCGTGCTCAGCCCTAGCGTATGTGCAGTCTAATCACATAAAAAAGGTAGTGCTTCTAATCTCATGACCTACTTACGCTAGATAACCATGCTCATAAGACCGTGTGTGTTTTTTGGGAGGAGGGAGAAGGAAGGGGGGTAGGGGGCACATGACCCCCCTCCTACCCCGGGTACCATTTAAGAGCGATGCAATGTTATAGTTGAGGAGTTGGTATGGAAAAACATTGATTTTATCTAAATCTATGGTTCCGTTAAGAGACAGTTACATAAGGACAAATTATGAGGATCGTTACAAGTTTGGAGTCCTCATATTCATTTTAGACATGGCAATGATAGAGAAAAAGGAAGATGAATAGGATAATTAATAATAGGAAAATGTGAAGTTACGGTAGCATTTAGATACCATAGTGTTTTTAGTGTTTCCATGGTGTTTTTACCAAAGACAAAACATAATGTGTTTGGAAACCATGGCATTTTTGTTAGGCTGCAATATCAAAAACTAAAAACACAACACATATTTCAAAACACCAAAAATATGTTTCAAGTTTGGTGTTTGTGTATTGAGTTTTAAGGGTGTTAATACAATGTCTCACATAGTGCATTAATAATATATTTTTAATATAATATATTCATTGCAAAACATATAATATAATATAATATAGTATTAAATTATATTATTTAGTATGTTACATTATAACATTAGTTTCCGAATATATCAATATTATGTTTAATACCATTAATTATTAATATATATAATATTATAATTAATATAATATAATATTTATATTTCAAATTCTATTATAACTATATATATTAATAGTAGATAATAATAAATTGACTATATAAATAAAAATATAGTAATAAAATAAAAATATATTCTATTTGAATTAACATATATTATATGATATGTTAGTTACGATACTTATATTACATTATTTAAATAAATTAAATTATAATATTATATTCCTAATATATCAAACACAATGTTAATATCATTAATTAATAATACATATAATATTATATACTAATATAATATAAATAATTAGTAGTGTTAACACTATTATATATATTATATATATTAAATTAATAGAAAATAAATAATAAAAGAACAATATATTTATAAAACAATAGATAATGATTTATTATTAATAAATAATCCTATAGTAATGATATAATATTAAATTATATAACAAAAAAGTAATATATTATATTATTTAATTAATAAAATATATTATTAATGTATTAAAATTTTATATAATATATTAAAATTTTTTAATATGTTATGTAATAATAATATAATAACTCCTATAAGAATAAAAGATTATATATTAATATATGCAATATATTCATAATATATTATATAATACATAATAATATATTACATTATAAATTAATGACAAAACAATCATATATTATAAAGTAAATAACTTATTAATGATAAATTACATATATTATAACAAATATTGATATAATAATAATATCATAAATATAATAATTTTATATTATATTATAAAAGGAAAATGCTAATACATTATTATTTATAAAAAATAATGTATTAATGACAATAACATATTTAACTAAAAAATAATTAAATATGTTAATATTTGAAAATAATATTTAAGTATTATGATATACTACATATTATAAATATGTACAGTATATAATATTATAATCTATTAGTTGTATAATATTATAATATCTTAATTGTATTATAAAATATTAGTTAAAATAGATTATATTATAATTAATATTTAATATATTAATAAAATGTTTAATATTAATCTTATAAAAGGTCAAAACTATTGTTGGCAAAAAAACATTTGCCATGGTGTTTTGAAAATACTTTTGAAGAAAAACGCAATGGTGTCTTGAAAACACCACACCAAAATCACCGTGGTATCCAAACATATTTGAGGGACTGTTTTGGTTGTTTTCCAAGAAATATAGGAAAATGAGCTTTCACCCATGGAAAAGAAAGGGTAAAAATTGATTTCTTAGCAATCCTATTGTTTAGATAGAAACTCAAGATGGAAATACATTCTTGATAGAATTCTTATAGCATGGTTAACAGAAATTAACACTCCTTTACATACTAAAACGAGATTGAATTAGATTGTGCATACCTTCTTCTATTGTTGAATGCAATAAACACTGAATTACCGATAATTGTTCTTCCTTGTCCACTCCACAACACAAAACCGAAATTGATGGATTATTATCACAGGACTTTATTCATTGATCATTCATTGATCATTATATTTGTGTGTGGACAAGTGATTCCCTTTATAGAACTTCCACCATCAAGGAGTTCATAACTACCCAATGTAATTACGATTTAAAACTACCAAAGTAGTTAAATTTAAAATTCAAATTTAAATTGATATCAATGTCATATAATAGAATATGAAGAGTCAATATTCTAACAATTCTCTCTTAAACAAGAGCGCCCCCCCAAACTCCAATTCGTAGTTCCACGCTATTTACTTGTCAAATGGGCATCACAAGGCATCAAATGTTGTAGAAAGATTTCTGATTTGTTGTTTAAAAAGTTTACTTAATAAATTTTTTTTCTGACCATAGTTGTGAATTTAAATTGAATGACAGGATGAAGAACAGAGGACAAGCGATTTGAGAAGCAGAGGGTTGTGCCTCGTTCCTATCTCTCGTACAGAGAACGTGGCAAATGACAACGGCGCTGATATTTGGTCTTCTTCTACCTTTAGAGGAAGCATCAACCTCTACTCTACTTGAAACACTGAGAATTAGAGCACTCTTTGGTTTTTGCTACCACTATTTTTGCATAAAAAAGAAGGAAACGGTTGATTTTGTGAAAAAATTCTTCATCAAAGAGTGACTTTTTTACGTGAAGTAAGTTTGCCTTCGGTAGGAGGCGTTGGGGAGAAACTAGCAGAGCCCATCTCTGGTTTGAATTTTAGTAAATTATAGGGATAATTACATAAAACCCCCATGAACTTTTGAGGACTTGAAGTAAGACCCCATGAACATTTTTAATTACACTAAACCCCTCTGAACTTTTGGGAACGTGCACATAACACAAGCAGTGCAGATAAATAAGTGATTGGTTAAGAATAAGTTACTTCTAATTAAGCAGGCAGAAGGTGATCTGTTGTTGGCTTCTTCATTCTTTTATTGTCTTCAACTCCATGCTCCAAAGTTAAAATCTGCGCAATAGTCACCATATAGATGTTTATAGTAACTTGCAAATAATTTGTTTAATCAGATCGAATTTATAGGTAGAAAAGTTCTTCTAAGATTCAAGTGCGAATTTTAAAAACTTTGAGGACAAAAGTAGAAGTGCAATCGGTTTGGATATAGCTTAAAAATGATACCCATTACATACACATCAACTTACCAATCATGGTACAAATGCAAATACGTCTCAACAAGGAAAATTAATATCCATACCCTCTAGAATCGGATTGGAATACAAAAATGGATATGAGAAAAGTGTATAACATTGGATAAAAAATAATTCATAAGATACTAGAGACTTCATTAATATGCTCATTAAAACTAGAATTAATTATCTTGATCATCAAAATTAAACCTTAAATCCATCAATGTATAGATTAAAAAAATTATAACTATATTAAATAATTTCGGATAGCAATCTAGATATTTCATTAAATAGTCATGTTATTTGTCTCTGTAATGTAATCATATCCTACCTAATATTATATCAGTAACCTTATCTATATCCGAATACGAGTATATCTAGGGATACATATTTTTTTCACCATAAACATAAGTGTTCTAGAAACAATTGATGATATATTAAGTGCAAAGCAGGGGAAACTATAGGATATTTAAGTTCAATTAAGCCTTATATTTCTGAGTGAGGAGATGGAGGTAAACTCGGCGGTGGATTCAGCTGAACATTTTAGTGCCCACATTTATAGAATCAACCAAATCCATGTGCTCCGATTGAAACGGTAAAAGCGACTAATCCGTTTTACTCCGTTCAACTCTTTATGCTGTTTTGGTTCTGTTTTCTATAGCAACAGCTCGATGTCAGTGGCGTCTGTCGTCGAAGCTGTTATGCTGTTTTATTCCGTAATTTCTCGTTCTATTTGGGGGATCTGTGATTCATTTATTTCATGATGGTTTTGTTTTATGCTGTTTAATTATATAGCATAATAATCATAATAATTAAGGTCTAACTGTTAGGGGGGGTTGCTATAGTTTTTCCCTAAAACACATAATATGCAAAGAAAATATATAAAATTAAAAGCAAACAACCAAACAAAAAACCAACTAAGTAACACACGAGATTTTTATAGTGGTTCAGATAACAATTCTACGTCTACTCTTCATTTTGAGGAAGGTGCTTCTTCACTATGCCAAGAGTCCTCCTGGATCAGTAGGCTTACTAATGCTACACCCTATAATCTATCTGAAACTAGTTATCTAACCTAACTCTTCCTAGCAAGTAACATCTAGTCCTAATTGGTCCTAACCCTTAATTATCACCAGCTTGCAAATGCCATAAAAAACAAGTTTGGAACAAACTACCAAAATTATTTAAGCACAAAATAGATATCCTCACTTACATTGTTAGATGTATTCAATTCTAAAGAAAGATTTTTAATTTTATCACTCATTAGTTTATTATCTTTCTTTAAACTTAAATTCATCTTTTTAACAACTTTATATTTTTAGCATGTTTTTCAAATTGACGCAAAATTTCATGATATTTAGAATATAAATCATCATATATACAATATACCTCACTGCAGAGCTCTCGTGTTTGGATTCATCTGAATTACTATCTTTAGTCATAAGACAACAGTGTGCTTTTTTTTATCATCATCGTTGGAGCTACTATTTGTCTCATTCTATATAGTCACTTTGAAACTTTTGCCCTTTCCTTTGTAATCCTTTTTGTTCAGGGAACAAGTCTTCCTTAAGTGACCGCATTTCCTATACTGAAAATAAATATGTTCAGTATCAGAATCACTAGAATTATATTTATTTATCTTGCTTGTATAATGATCCTATTTGTCTTGTAGGAATTTCTAATCATCCTTTGGTTTGAGGGAGGATTCGTGGCCTTTAACAATTCGATCAACATGATTATTCTTATCCTTAAAAATTAAGCTTGACTCTTTCTTCTTTTTGGATTGAGATTTCTTCTTTTTAGCTTTCAGGGCTAACGACTTCTTCTTAATGCTATCTCATGAATCATCTTCTCTCTCTTTTAATCGCACTTTATATGTGTGAAAGTTCCCTTCCAGTTTTTAAGAGTTAGTTTAGAAAATTTTTGTAATATTTCAATAGCTGTTATGTTTGGTTCCCAATAACTAGAAGAGAACGGATTTTTTTTTCTACATAGCTCTTTGTTGTCATACTCTCTTCCCAAAGCTTTTGACTTGTTCATAGTGTCCGTCAATCGGGTCAATATATGTTGAATACTCTCCGAGCTATTCATCTTAAAATTTTCATACTGACTAATAAGCATTATAAGTTTCGCCTCTATCACCTGTGAAATTTCCTCATGTATAACTTTCAAAGTTTTCTAGATTTCTTGCACATAATGCAATTTAAAACATAATTAAACTCTTCAGCAGTTAAAGAACAATAAAGAGCATTCATAGCTTTTTCATAAAGAATAAAGCTTTTATCGAGAGGGGTCCACTTGTCTTTAAGAGTAACAATGGTGATGTTTTCTACAATGATAGCGGATCCACTATAACCATTCTCTACACTACTTCAAATGTCATAATATGTGGACAACAGAAAAATTCTTATATGAGTTTTTCAATAGATGTAATTTATCCCATTGAAAAGAAGGGCTCGGTTTACTATATGTCCCTAAAGAAAAACCATTATGACAGCCAAATAAGACAATCTACCCTAGATTGTAAATCATAAAGACATGTAACGATGCTTTGATACTACTTGTTAGATTTGACATAGAAGCCTAGAACGGGGTAGGGGCGGAGGGGAGGGAGGGCGGGGGTGGGGGTGGGGGGTGTTTAGAATGCAATATACAATAGAAATGTTAAAACTTAAAAACGAAAAACCAAACCAAAAATCAACCAAGTAACATGCAATATTTTTATAGTAGTTCAGGTAAAAATCTTAAGTACACTCTTCTTTTTCACGAAGTTCTTTCTTACTATACCAAGAGTTCTCCTAAATCACAACCTAATTCAATAGGCTTATAAAGACTATACCCTAAAATCTACGTGAAACCATTCTTCTAATTTAACTCTGCATAGTGAGTAGCACCTGGCTCTAATTGATCTTAACCCTCAATTATCATCAGCTTGAGTATGTCGTAAAAAATAAGTTTAAAACAATCTACTAAAAATAGTTTAAGCATAAAATTAGAAAGATCTTATAGTCATTTTGATTAGTGAACTATTCTTTAAAAGAATGAAGGGAAGCTCGATGAAGAACGATGTAGATGTTGAGTCTAAAGGCAACTCCTCTCATTAATATGATCCAATATTGAGCATGACGATAAAGAGTTTGTTGATACTCTAAGGGCTCAAAACATAAATCAATCTTCTTAACACGAACCTTAGAATTTTCTTTCTTCAAGCTCTCTCTTTTTAAACTCTAGACCTCTTCTCAAATATTATATCTCTAAGAGGAGAGAGGGGGGGTGGAGAGAGAGAGAGAGAGAGAGAGAGAGAGAGAGAGAGAGAGAGAGAGAGGGAGAGAGAGAGGGGGGGGAGAGAGAGAGAGAGAGAGAGAGAGAGAGAGAGAGAGAGAGAGAGAGAAGGAGAAAGAGAGAGGGGGGAAACAGAGAGGAAGAAAAGAGAGGAAAAGAGAGAGAGAATTTTGTCTTTTCGAAGATCAGGAACGGATAGGGATTCCAATTTCAGAGATCAATAAAGATAAATTCATCTCTTTCCAAACTCGTCCCCAGTTAGTTTTGATCTTGATAAAATAATTGATGAATGGACTTTTAGATCAAATCCTAAAAATAAAAAAAGACATGATATTGAAGAATAGAATATTAGATCAAATCCCTAAAGACATGATCTTACTAGTTAAAACTATACGTATCTGTCCACAGCCGAAATTACTATTACTATTCATAAATATTGTTACTATTCATACATACGGATACTATTACTATTACTATTCATATGTGTGGGTACTATTCATACATACTATTATTGTTTATACGGACGGTACTATTCATAAATACTATTACTATTCATACGTACGAACACTATTACCGTTACTATTCATACGTATATGTACTATTCATAAGTGTTGTTACTATTCAAAAATATTGTTACTATTCATAAGTACAGTTACTATCCATACGTACGGGGACTATTCGTAAGTACTGGTATTATTCATATGCACATGTACTATTCATAAGTACTGTTACTATCTATAAGTACTATTACTATTCATACTACATTACTGTTCATGAGTACGATACTTGTGTTCATCTTTTGTTTGATGTGTTTTCTCTTGCACGTTAAATCGTAAACATGGGGTTCAAGCTGTACGACGATACGCACGCAACCAAGGGTGTACACAAATAGAGTTGTGACACATACACGGACATTCCGAAGAAGGTTATCACAAGTATTGTTTCGATCATGTATGAGTAATAATTAATTTAAAACTGCATAGATATACATGTATGGATATCGTTGATGAGCACTGCTCAGTACTACTTGGGATAGTGCGTTGATATACCATTAGTACAAGCTATTGAGTCATGTTTTAGGATGCTTGATTTAGTAGTCCGTTCCGCATATAGATGTGATGAGGCTTGTGAGTCGTATACCTAGGATGCCTTGATTTGGTAGTCCATCCCGCACGTTGATGTGATGAGATTAATGAGCCGTGTACACTATTAGGATACTGATTTGGTA